CTGGCGACAGATCCAAGCCACCATATCCACACCCAGGACATTGGTCCAAAATGTGCACGACCTCCGACGGTCGGCCTGCACATGTTGGGTCAGTGCACGAAACTTCAATGCACCGTCCACAATTCATGGTTTCTTCCCATTGTTCGGTATTAAGTGCAGCGTACTTAGTTGCTGCTCTGTCAGGCGTATGCATGAAATTGCAATTTCCGTTAAAAGGCGAGGTAAGCGTGTAAACTGTACCGAAGCCTTGATAAATGGCTGATGCCGATACAATGCACGAAAAAACGAGAAACAGGACGATTTGCTGCAGAGCCATTGGGCTTTCCGACGGATGTGAATGTCAAGGTAAAAATGAAAATGCGAGTGAAAGCTTTTATTTCGCCAGAACTGGAAGTGTATACGGATGGGGTAGGCTATTAATTTACAACGCCTGGACATGTAAGAGCGTTGTTCAAAAGGTGTACATACTGTCTAGTACGTATGTATCACAATGTATCGTAGCTCCCTTTTCGAAAGCATTTGGTTTTCCACCTGGCGTTTTCTGCGCAAAAGCGACGCGATCTTCTTCAGATTGAGACGCTCCCGCTACATCAGGGAAATGAGACATCAAGCATGAGGCCCACGTATGGATGGCTATGGGATACATTGTTCGGTCTATGTGCTTAAGTCGGTGTGATCTTCGATCTCATGGTTGTCGATTTGACAGGCTTACGCTCACTTAGAAGCAGTCGTAGGTGACTGACGTGCCATCGCGGGTTCGGTCAGGCATTGCTATCTAATGGACGCGGTCTTAAAGTACATAGATGCAGTCAATTTGATATCTGAGCCTGTTGAATTAATATTTAATTCTACTGTCGTCAAGTCTTAATATCTTTTTCGATCAATTGTACGACAGATACAAATTTGTGTAGCGTCTAAGTAAGTACTAACTTTGTGCGTTGTGCATTTGCAAATTAATATGGGTAATTAAAAATATGACTTTTAATTAAACACAAGCTTATTGCATGCACCTAAGTATTAAAATCATTGAGGCTATCCATGATGTCGACGCAACCAAAGCTATGACCGACATGATAATTTGAGTCCGACTACTAGTACTCTACTTGCGATGACACACGTACAGTTTCAAACAGACGGTCATTACAGTCGCACACATCCACAAGCGTCGCGCTAAAGCAAATGTCGATATTATTATTTGCATAGGCATAGATTGTTCCATATTACCGTGCCGCAGTTACGTAATCTTTCTTCTGTTGGACATATTGGTCCATCAGTTCATAATTTTAATTTACAAGTGCACATTCGTCTGATTACTTTGGCGAATACATTCTCAAGCGCTTATGCTGTACGCTTTATTACAAACATAGATCTCAAGATTTCAAGCTGTTTGAGAAGTGGATGCATGGGTTGGTCTCATGACGCTAGTAAGTTATCAAGATCTTTTTACCGAATTCTTGAAGACGAAACGATCTGAGTCTGTGGAAACTATAGACTAGAGTCTGTAAGTGGCGTGCGTCTAGAATCGGATCCATGTCAAGCCGATAGTATGGTACGTGCCTGGTGGCGTTTCTATCGTGCGAATTGTCAGTCGCGCTACACTACGACTGATCCTGAAGATGTTTAGTCACTGGACATGGTGTTGTGATCTACACTGACGTACATTGCCCATTGTAGCACATGTGACAAACAAAGTCGCTGACGTGCTTGCCTGATTTGGATCTACATGTACACGGATAGTACAAATTGGCTCCACATAAAGAGGCACCCATATTGCGTATGACGGGAGACGTTTAGAACGTGGACGAGCCTTCAATAAGGCAGAACATGTCATTTCCATACGGTGAGCTGGCAAAACTTGGCTGCGAAGCTATGAGTCCTGCGGATGTGGCAAATGATGCGATGATTCAATCTTACGAGGATTAGAATTAATTTTGCGTTCAGCATACTCTTTTTCTGGGATTTTCCTTTTATAGGTTAAAATCTCCTATTTTTATTTGAAAATTAAACTTCATTTACAACTCCAAGTTTTCGATAAATCACGTCATATTGATATTTGGTTAGCTATAGTTTTGAGAGTGGGTTTGCTTGGATCACAAACACCTAGTACTCGTTGTAAAGTCGAGCAATCACCGAGGCCAATGCGGTGAGTACTTTTGTCGTTGAACTCAGCATTCTGACTTAAATACATGCTTTGGCGGTCTGCTATGCACGGCAAATGTAATATCTCGAACAATAAGTAACACTGCCCTTTCAAAGTATTAAATTTGTCGAAATACAAGTGGTGTGTAGAGTGAATCGTAGGAAAGATTATAGTGTGGCTAGTCTTAACACTCGAAAGATGACTGATGAGTGCTTCCCAAGGCTCTAGACCGTAAAAAATGACGGAGCGGAGGCAAAAATGACAGCAGATTATTAATGTGAATTAAGTCAAGTTCAAGAGTAGAGATTTAAATTAGAACAAGTAAGCAATATGCCTTGTGTCACAGAAATACAAAGTCTGCTACACTTATGACATTTATGGCAAAGCTTTTTACGACAAGGACCACGATCTCGGCAGATACAAAAGCAAAGACCTCATTACTTCGTACGGCGAAGTTATCTGCATACGTTTCAATAGAAGTTTCGAGAAGGGATCTGCTAGCAACATCGACCATCAAGTAGGTAAAGCAAACACACTGAAATACAACTGGTAGAGCCGAAAAACATGAAACGACCTTGATACTGGCAACTGTTCTATATTTTGTTAAGACTTAACATACTGTTAAGTCAGAATCAATTTACGCTGGATATGCCCTATACGCTACATACTCAGTTTATGTCGATATCGATGGCCAAGATCGGTGTCAAGGAGAGAAGAATTTCTTAGAATGTACGGTGCTATTATATTCAAAAGGTACTTTCTAAATGCTGTGTGAAAAGTTGTAAGGGTCTACAGCGCATCACAATGTTGCAATATATATATTTATATATATCCAATTCTATTACTCGAGATATCCAAAATTGTTAATAGAATTGTTTTGATGAAGCGTAATTTTTCGTTTCGCGGCAAAAGTTTGCCTCAAAGGAGAGCTGCATGCGTAATAATCGCAAGCGGAAAACATACGAGATGTCGTCTGCGATTATTGAGTCGAACCTTTTGTGCCTCACACTCATGTTTTCACTGGTGTCGCCAAATTATTTCCTGCTTTTAAGCTCATGTTCAATTCATTCGTTTACATGGATGATTTAAGTTAATTTGATCAAAAAATCCTTCCTTTTTTTGCTGCAAGCCAAGTTATAGTGGACGACGGTGGTGTCAACAAGCAATCTCAGGATAATACTGAAGGCTGCAAAAAAAACTTTGTGAGACGTATATATTCCTTTGGATTATGTGGTGATGATCCAGAAAATAACAAATTCTTGCGTCTAGCACTAGCATGAGTAATACGGAACAAAACGGATTTCAAGATAATTATAATCAGAGTGTTTTTTAGCTCTTGAAAGTTTATCTAATAGCCGGAAAAGCGGTAGAACATGCGGGGTGGAGAGAATATGCTTTGCTATAGATTTGGGAAGACGCAAGAACCAAGTCGTGATTCTCGCCTAAACCCTTCTAAGCAAAAAGATAGCAACAGAGAAGCAAAATATACAGCTTAGACACGTGCGGGCTCTTACCAGCCAGTTCAAATGATCCGTTGGACTGGTCCGGCTGATCAAATCTAGGGCAGCACGCCACTGACTAACAAGCTTCACTTTCGATGGCCGCACAGATGATCCATAGCCAGCTCACCGAGACCTTGTCCCACTTTACTGACGTAGGTTAAAGCGTCTCATAATCCGATTCATGACCTTTGACATTTTATATGAAATGCTTATATCAGTACAAAAAGTACGAAGGTATAAAACCATTTATTGATTATTAACTATAAAACAAATGGCAGATGTCAAGGTTGATTGTATGGTGAGCGTACTTGATGTGGTCTGAGCGATTAGAATATCGTCAACATTCCCAGCTAACAATTTCTTAACGAATAGTCATGCACAATCACTTTTAGATATGCTCCAAGCAATGGAATAGGGTTTTGTAAAGCTGGAAACTTCTTTCAGAGACTGCTGTTTCTTTGGGTTCGAAAAAAGATCATATATCGCTCACTACGCATTACCGAACAATGCAATCTTTCAACACAATTAATTTTGCTACTCCGTTCGCACTGATCAAATCTTCCGTATGCACAATGCAACTTATATTTTTGTTGACCCTACCGTGCATTGTATCGGCATCAGCCATGTATCAAGGCTTCGGTACAGTTTACACGCTTACCTCGCCTTTTAACGGAAATTGCAATTTCATGCACTCACCTGACGAAGCAGGTACCAAGTACGCTGCGCTTAATGCTGAACAATGGGAAGAAACCATGAACTGTGGGCGGTGCGTTGAAGTTTCGTGCACTGACCCCACATGTGCAGACCGACCATCGGAAGTTGTGCACATTTTGGACCAATGTCCTGGGTGTGGATATGGTGGCTTGGATCTGTCGCCAGAAGTATTTGAGAAGATCACGGGTCAAACGTATACAATTTTGCCCATCGAGTGGAAATTCGTTGACTGTCCGGTATCATCCAATGTAGAATATTGCTTGAAAACCGGAAGTACGGAGTTCTGGGTGGCGGTCCAACCAACCAATTTAGACTCTGGTGTGACGAGCATGAAGATCGACAATCAAGAAACGTCACGTGTTGACTCTGCGTTTTACTTCTTAATTGACGGGAAAGGCAAAAGTGTGGCGAACCTCAGTGCATTGAGCATTTCATTGACAAATGTGAATGGCGAAGTGTTAGAGGACACACTGTCAATGAAAGCCGACTTGTGTACCGCCGGTAGCTCGCAATTTTCACCAAGTGGTGACATTTATCAAACGACAACAATCTCGGAGGAAGCGAGTCAAGAGCCAAATTCAACAGCATGTGCAGATGTAGCTCCTACAGCTCCAGACGCAGCGCCTTCAACCGCATGCCCTCCAACGGCAACCCC